ATCCTTATTAGAGGCTTTTTAAAGGAAATCAAAAAAAAGTCACTCATACTCCATGGTGCACCAATGTGACCTACATAATTGTTTAATGTACAATACTATTTTTAATGTACAATACTATTTTTAATTTACATTTAATAAAGTTTACAAATCGAATTGCAATATTACTACAAACAACAACCATAATATGTACACAAATCAAGCGGGGAGAAAAGAAATGAAAAATAAATTTGTCAAAATAAATTAAATATTTAAAAATTCAAAACTAATTTTTGTTTATATATGGAATAGATATTAGGCAATAATAGCAGAAAAATAAATAGTTAACTATTAAATGAGTTGTTAGACATTTTTGTTTGTCAAACGAAAACGAATGTATAGTACAAATAAAATATTTAAACAAATTATTGGCTTATTCTTTTTCTACATTCGGTACTTTTCCAAACACATATGATTCCTTTTGGTGTTCTCAATTTTCTGCTTTCTGTGTTTTGTCCAATTTTTATTCCAATTGGTATTGCAAAAACAAAATATAATTGGCGCTGTGTAACCGCTGAAGTGATTTTCGGCCAAGCTCCTCCTCCGTGGGTATCTGGTCCATATTGCGGAGAGAAGTGTAAAATTCTTCGTAATCTAAACAAAAAGGCATCAATATACCGATTTTCAGATAAATCACTATTATCAGTGGAAGTCAGTCCTCGTATAGTTCCCAGAGTGAATAATGCTGTTCTTTCTAAACTAAGGAAAAATCCACTTATGTAACAAATATCAAGTGATTCGAATTATGATACGAGTTTTCCGAATAGGTCAGCCTTTGAAAACCTTTCCAGGAACCATATAATTTTTACTTATGTCTTAAAAAAATACATTTTTATTTACAACATAAATACAAGATTTTCAAATGAAAGGTTTTATTTTGATATTTAAAGAAACTATTCCTTCAAATGATCAATGGTTTTATTGCTTGTGTGGCAAATAGCGCAGCTTTGTTGAAAATAAATGTTGCCTAGATCAATACCATCCAATTCCGGCCATAAAATATAAAAAATAAATATATAATCGCCCCGCGAAAGCGCAATCAATTAATTTTTGAATGAATAAGGTTCAATGACCACGCCGGATCATAAACCGTCTAAACATAAATTTGGATTTTCCGAACCCTAGTTGCGACAGTCAAGATTAGTTTTCGATGAAATTTTATTATTGGAAAACCTTTTACTCGTTAAAATTACTTCAACTAATTTTTCTCATTATACATATTTTTATTATTTGCAAGTACAAAAATGACCAAACTGTAACCATAACAGTTCAACAACTCAAAAAAACAATTATTTACTACTCATTTGCACTTCACTTGTACAATGCGCGACGTTATTTGTCATTTGCTAAAGGCAAATATATTATAATACCATTCGTTTTTATCAAACTGGACTCATGATGCCATCGGCGCTCAAATCTTCTATCTTTGCTTAGTCTCTATAGGTGATTTTGTTCACTTGATTTCAAAATTTAAGATTGCTAATTAGCCTAACCCTGACTGCGGGGATTGATTTTCGAACCTTCAAAGCCTTTAAATCTTAATAATATGCCAGTTCATGATTCATCGTAAAAACAATTAGCTTTTTTTTAATTATTTATTTCATATTTATTTAAATTATTTTGCAATTTCATGAAGTATATTTTACAAACTTTCTGCTTCCTGAACAATCCATGATCGTAATTCGGGAATATTAGTTAAGACAGATGGATTGCCCTTGTTGCCACAGCCATAACCCCAAGATACTAAACCAACCAATTGATTGTTGACCACAACAGGATTACCATTTAGACCACCACAAGCTTGGCTATTCGTAGCAAGACCGCACAACATTGAATCCAAAATCTCATCCTCGCTGTACTTGTAATCACCGGAACCACATACTTCGGCACTCAATACGCTCACATTAATATCTACAAGACTATCGTTAGCAGCCCAGCCAGTAATGACACCGCTTGCGCCGCTTGATGGCGCACTCGAAGCTAACTCGATGGCATCAACATCTACTGATTCGGCCAATTTCACAACGGCAACATCACTTTCCATAGTGGTGAAATCATAGCTGGGATCGAGGCCATAGGCAGCAATTTTTGCAGTTTTAGCGCCATTGTTAAGACCAACCAGCAATTGGGAGACATCGTATGTATCCAAGCAACTGGCAGTAGTCACAACTGTTGTTGAATTGATCAGAGCTCCACCACAGATGCGTGAGCCATCGCTATTTTGCACGGAAACGATGTAAGGATGTGCTGCAATGGTGGTTGCTACGCCACCCTCAATGTCTTCAGCGTAGATATTGCCAACGCAGGCTGCGATCACGAACAAAAAACTGCAAACGAATAATTTGGCCATTTTGAAAATAAGGCTACTTCTGTCTTAAACTCTGTTTGGATTGGTGTGAAAGTTTAAACTATACTCTAATTGGGTTTCCTCATGCCTTTATATACAGTTCTTAGCGCATTTAGTTTGGTTATTAATAGACGTGTCTAAGATGTTAACATATGGTTATCTGAATATGTTTGTGTAGAGCAAATATGAAAGAGGTAATTTTCTGCAAAAGAATAAATGTAGGGGCATATGTACTCCCAAATACTTAGTTATAAGCTGTTAGCAATTCTGATGTTTGGTGATAAGAACCATTCGGACTGAGCAGCCGCGTTTATCATTATCGAAAGAAATAAAATACAATTTTTGCTAACCGAATACTAACAACAAGTACATCATTGATGAAAGATTTTCAATTTTCCTGTTGAAATTACGACATATCTTCTGATCTTAAACTGTTATTTTATTTTATATTATTTTATTTCATTTTAATTTATTCCTTTTTATTTTACTTGATTTTTATTCCATTAGACTTTCTATTTCATTTAATTTAAGTATTTTCATTATTATTTTATTTAATTCTTAAATTTATATATGAAATTGTGATTTTAATTTTATATTAATTTTATTTTATTTTTTCATTTAATTTTGTATCATTAAACTTTTACTCTTTTGTTTTATTTATTCCGTTTTTATGTAAATTTATTGTTTTTATTCTATTTCTATAGTTTATTGAAAGTATTAGTTAATTTAAACATAATCAGAAGCTATTATTTTCAAATGTTTCTCATCCTGAAAGTATGCCTTAATTTTCACTAACCATTATTACGCATATTTGTAATTGAAAAAACGCCTACCCTGTAGGAAACTTTTAGGTTATAAAAGTAATACTATTAAATATGAGATTAAACTACTTTTTGTTAGCCGATTATCTAAACAGTTGAATATTTGAAATCGTCAGCTTCTATAATTATCCCAAGTTGGTATTACTATCATTGAAAACGAGATAATGTTGGTATAATAAACTGTTGAAATGGCTAAAATTCGCAATGCTTTAGAAAAATTAGAACTCTGTTGTAGATAAGACAACATTTTCGAAAATTTTTGGATAAAATATTTTTACGGTAAATATGATAGAAACCTGTTGTGAACTTATATCGAGGGCTAAGTGGATTTAAAAAAAGAATTGCCGCCTTGTTGTTCTGTTTTCTCTGCTATACTCGTATTTGCATAGTGCACCTGCAGTAAACAGAAGGTATTTAAATACATGTGTATTCATATTATTTCTTTATAACAGTTGGTGTTGAATTCATGTAGCTATGAAGCTCTAAGACAAAACTTCATTTGTTCTATTGCATTAAAAATTTGCTTCATTGTCTCAATTGATCAATGAAAATACCGTCGTGACTGCTGCCAGCTGTTTGAACTTCTACGATGTCTCCCAATTGGTTGTGGGTATCAATAATGGCGCCAAAATCGTTAACATTGCAGCCTCGCGTTTCGATCCCAGCTTCGAACGAAAATGACGTTGGCGTCTTAAGGTTAGCTGAGCCCGTGAATGATGCTGTCATTGCATTGGCTACGAGTGAGCCAGCAAATGGCGCAAATGCTATTGTTACCGGTTGGGCTAGTGGCGATAAACTCGTTGATGTTCCTGTTAGCATTCTAAGCGCTGAAAAGTGCAGTTCTGGCGAGTATAAATACGGCGAGGGCGAAATTTTGGATAGTATGTTGTGCGCACTCGCTGAGAATAGCCAAGCTTGTGGCGGTCTAGCTGGCAATCCTGTCGTGTCCAATAATCAATTAGTTGGTGTGGCATCCTGGGGTTATGGCTGTGGTAACAAAGGCAATCCAGCTGTTTTGACTGATCTTGCAGCATTGCGATCATGGGTCAGTCAGACTGCGGGAAATTTGTAAATTTCTAAAATGCAATTTTGTTCGAAATTCTGTAATAAAAATAAATTGGCGTTGAGTATATTCAATTAAATTGTTTTATTATAAATTCGAGGAGTTCTGTTCTTACTTTGGTGTATAAATATCAATTTATATTATCAACTGATTTTAGATTTCAGTAAATAGTTAACACAAATGAAAAATCGAACTAACGCGCAGACTGCCACTGATTACAACGATGCTTTTAGTGGTAGTACGGTTAACTCCGTACATATATATATATTATGTAGAGTTAACCGTTCTTGAATCAAGACAGACTGTACGGACCTGAAATTTTAAGAAACAACGCAAAGAATGTCAAAATTCTAATTTGAAATAAGAAAAGTAATACTGGAAGAATTATGTCTGACTTGGCGTGTCTTAAAAAACCAGATCGGTGGCCATCTTGTTATGAGCCTTTTCATCGAGCATGGGAAGCGCTTGATGGCCATTCGATTTTAAATTGAAACGCTGTTTCGGACTTAGTATGTTCATTATGAAATGGCAAACCGAATTCAACCAAAAAGGTATTACCCCCACAAATCTACCCTTTATTATCTCTACAAGCGCGTATATGCATTAATGACACCAAATTATTATATAAGATTGTATTCTCAAGGGTTGTTTTTTTTTAGAAATCTGTAGTGTAAATTTTTCGTGAACGAGCATCACGATTTCCATTTTAAGTGCGGAAAAAATTTGCATTTTCATTTTTAATAATTATTTCATATTTTATTTTCATAATACATTTTCCTATCACATTTTACAAACTTTCTGCTTCCTGAACGATCCATGATCGTAATTCGGGAATATTAGTTAAGACAGATGGATTGCCCTTGTTGCCACAGCCATAACCCCAAGATACTAAACCAACCAATTGATTGTTGACCACAACAGGATTACCATTTAGACCACCACAAGCTTGGCTATTCGTAGCAAGACCGCACAACATTGAATCCAAAATCTCATCCTCGCTGTACTTGTAATCACCGGAACCACATACTTCGGCACTCAATACGCTCACATTAATATCTACAAGAATATCGTTAGCAGCCCAGCCAGTAATGACACCGCTTGCACCACTTGATGGCTCACTGGAAGCTAACTCGATGGCATCAATATCCACTGATTCGGCCAATTTCACAACGGCAACATCACTTTCCATAGTGCTGAAATCATAGCTGGGATCGAAGCCATAGGCAGCAATTTTTACAGTTTTAGCGCCATTGTTAAGACCAACCAGCAATTCGGAAACTTCGTATGTATCCAAGCAACTGGCAGTAGTCACAACTGTTGTTGAATTGCCACCACAGATGCGTGAGCCATCGCTATTTTGCACGGAAACGATGTAAGGATGTGCTGCAATGGTGGTTGCTACGCCACCCTGAATGTCTTCAGCGTAGATATTGCCAACGCAGGCTGCGATCACGAACAAGAAACTGCAAACGAATAATTTGGACATTTTAAAAATAATTCTTCTTCTCTCTCAAACTGTGCTTGATTTGTAGTAAAATTTTCAACTATACTTTACTTTAGTTTTTACATTTGCTTATATACCTCTCGTCGTGCTGTTTGTTACAGCTGTAGAAAATGCCCTGCTACCCTGTATCCAAAATTTGTTTCGAAATTCGAAATTGTTTCGTATAAAAATTTAATTTTCTTAGATAGTGTCTAACTCATAAGAAATATGCCATAAATATAAGTCGTGCGCACGTATTAATGGCTCTTGAACATTTCACCAGTGATTTTGGTTCTTTTAGAAAACACATACATACCATATACAGAATATTTGAATTATATAGTGTTGACTAAAAATTAGTTTGACTCAGATCCATCAATTTTGTTTAATGAAATCTAAATTAATCCCCCTTTAGTATTGGAATAATGCCTTAAATTATTATAAAAAAGCATTGCGTATTTGGTGCAGCTCACTTAAAAGTCGTCTGGGACTTTTCATTGAATGCTGATTAACCTGGCTTCATGTCAACCTATGTTTTTCAATGCAACATAGATTCTCTTAATTTCTAAATTCCTTGTCGTGTTAACAAGTAATAAATGTGTCGCTTCGTACAACTTTGTTTCAGTAATCGAAAAAAAATCTAATTTTTCTTATACCAAATCCACACTAAAAAAACAGCAAAAAAATTTCTGAAAAAAGCTAAAAAAAACAAAAAAACCAAAGCCAATTTTCAGTTAAACATCAGAAATTTGAGCTAAAACCAACTGGAAACGAGTTAAAATGACAACTGGTTACAATAGGCTCTTTGGCACACTGCCAATTTCGGGATTCTAGAAAGCCACAGGCTAATGCCTAAAAGTATGCTGTGGAAATCGATCAAAACCCGCGTAAGCAATTAATTCCCAATTACTTCTTTCGAAGATATATATAAATATATTATACCATCAAATCAATATACATTAAAATGAATAAATTTATTTAATAAATATTTATGTAACATATGTAATAAATCTTTAAATAAATTTGCATGCATTAAAACTATGAATTGAATTTGCTGTGAAATTTTATTTTTTTTTTTCTTTTTGCTAATAAAGCTGCGCTTATTGGCCGCCGATATAAGAAGCCATCAATTTACAACTCTTTAGCCGCCTTTCTAATCCATTTTCGCAAGTTATTGGCATTTGTGTAAACAGCTGGATTACCCTGGTTGCCACAACCATAACCCCATGACAACAAACCGATCAATTTGCCCTTAAGAACTAACGGACTGCCTGGTTCACCATCACATACAGACTTATTTAACGCCTCAGCACAAATCATATTTTTCGTTATATCGTCTTCAACATAAATATATTTACCCGAACGGCATTTCTTATAATCAATAAGGCGCACATTAACATACTCCAACTGCTTGTTTGCACCCCAACCGGTCACTGCAGCACTTTTACCGTTTTTCGGTTTGTCTCCAGCAATTTTTATCTCCCTTGTCACACGTGAATTCTTCACGGATTTAGACAACTTCACCACCGCCACATCACTATCCATTGTGGTGAAATCGAAATTTTCATTGATTCTGTAGGCATCAATTGGTATGAGTTCACCATCGCTATCGTAATTGTTGTTGCCAACACGCACGAATATTTGTTTAGGATCATAAAAGACGAAACATTGAGCAGTTGTGACGACGATTTTTTTCTTGATTAGTGCACCACCGCAGATGTGTGTGCCGTTAGCTGTTTGTAGTGAGACTACATAAGGATGTGCCGTAATGCTTGTCTCGGCGCCGCCAATGAAGCCTAGCGCCACAGAAAGGCTGGCATGATAAGCTATTAAAATGGCTAAAATCCTTAATGCTGAGTGTACAAACATCTTTGCTGTAGAAATATGAAATTTGTAGCTGAACCGAAGTTACGAAACGTTGTCGGTCTACTTGCGAATTTCTTGAGGAAAACAATACATTTATATAAAGAAGGAAAGCTGTTCTGAGCAATGTTTACATAAGATGTTGTTTAGAAATTAAACAAACGACAAGGTTTGAATTGTTAAAAAAATAAATAACCACGCAAAAGCAGCGAGCGTAGCTGACAAAAATATGGGTACTTCTCAAATTCTAGATGAGCTTGTAAAGGGTGTTTTTTTTTTTTTTGAAAAGATGGATAAAAATTGCCTTAGATTTAAATAGATTTAAAAAATGATTTCGCGCAAGTCAATGCAGCGGCTGGTTCGAATAAATTTCAGCTGAGAGGCTTAAACTTCATACACTTTGCAGCGGTTGAGGCGATGCCGGGTCGCAAATTCTCTTCCACGGCATCAATCGTGGCATCCACGGTATCCATCCCACAAAAAATAGTCCAGCTAGAGGTCACGCCACAAGCCCATGACGCGAGATGGTGCGCCCATCAAAGGTTCCCTTCATTGTTTGTTTCGTTGGCTGCATGAAATGTAGCGCCATTTCATTAGAACCAAAAGTCTATAGCGTTTCCCACTGACTGCCATACATTATGGCCCGCTTTATTATTGTAGACATATGGTTCAATGATTCTCTCAGCCCATAGAGCACACCAAACTGCCACTTAACGGCGTCTCAATAATGTTCTTTTTAAGGTGTGTGCCTTTCAATTGCCTCCTAACGAGATGGCCACCGATTTATATTTTCAGGAATAATACTCACTTTTTGTCAAATGGGTACGTGAATTAAAAAAAGACACCCGCCTTAAGAAAGCTTCTTTACTACCACTTTTGACACGGTGGTGCCACTCTTTATGAAAAGCTTATCGAAACTGAAAAATCAATTTAAATGGTAAATGCAATAAAAGATTAAATCTTTAATTAATTGGTTGTGGCTTTAACTCTTTTACCCTTTGGCAGAAACACAAGGGCAATGAGGATATTATTAAATTAAATTGCATATTAAAGCTCTTTTGAATCACGCGAAAGGCGTTTACGTTCTATACATCTGAGCAATATTTGAGAATTAAATAATCAAAAACTCATTTTTATAATTGCGATCGCCTCTCGTCAGGGAATTTCACATTCTGACACAAAAACAAAAATTTATTGGTAAAACCTCAAGATGCACACCACAAGTTTCGAGGAGTAACGCGGGCGAAAATCACCTCAGTGGTTACAAAGCCCAAATTACATAGCTCTGACAAAACCAAAGGCCAACGGGTCCATGTACGCCACATCAGCCAGCTCGTGTAACCTAACCCAACCTAAGGCGATCTACTATTTATGGCTTGGCTGTTTTCTTTAGTTATACTGGAAATTAGGGGATCATGCGAACAGTTTTGCATATCATTTTCATCTCAGCACTATTGGGTTTTAGAAGTTCCCGTTTAATATGACAACACTTAAGACAGTTACCCTCGTCGTGTGCTTTGTAGGGAATATTGGCCGGAAATAATTTATGTTTCAATGTTATAAATTAATATTTGATTTAGATGAGAAATGTAATACCCGTTAAATTCGCGTAATGCAATGGTTTGGGTTATTCTCAGTGTATTTGAACAGCTGATCGCGTTATTTTATGTTGACGAATAAAGCAAATACCTAAGATGTGCGCGCCAATTTAAGACGCTTTAACTAATATATGTACATATATATTTATATATATATATATTTTCATTGATTTTCCAACCAACGTAAGGAATAAGAGCTTCTACTAAGACGTCTCCATACAGTCGTTGGTTTCTTCACCATGAGCTCTTCATTTTACATCGGAAATATGTTCGGGGATCTTGACATTGAGAGGTGAAAGCAATTTGAAAATTTATTAATTTTTTAAATTTTCCTTCTATTACTTCAGAAGTTTGTCTGAGTAGAGTTCGAAACCGCAGAACTCCGTGCGCTAGTGCACATAATTGACCTCCCACTCAACATAAACGCCATTTATTTTATAAATGAATGTGTATTTAAATATATTTATAAACCATCTATAAAAATTACAAAAAAAATTAATTTTATTTCTTACTTTGCGCAAAATATCTAATATGCATTTGCTCATTTAGAGCTTTTTAACCGCATTCTTAATCCATTTTCGTAATTTGTGAACATTTGTGTAAACAGCTGGATTACCCTGATTGCCACAACCATAACCCCATGACAACAAACCGATCAATTTGCCCTTAAGCACTAACGGACTACCCGATTCACCGCCACATACAGACTTATTTACCGCCTCAGCACAAACCATTTTCTCCGTAATATCAGTTGCGGTATATACATAGCTACCAGAACGACACTTCTTATAATCAATAATTCGCACATGTACGTCCTCTAACTGCTTGCTTTCACCCCAACCGGTCAACAGGGCACTTCTACTAGTCCACATGATAGGTCCAAAGAAACCAGCAATTTTTATCTCTCTTGTCAGACGTGAATTCTTCACCGATTTAGACAACTTCACCACCGCCACATCACTATCCATTGTGGTGAAATCGAAATTTTCATTGATTCTGTAGGCATCAATTGGTATGAGTTCACCATCGCTATCGTAATTGTTGTTGCCAACACGCACGAATATTTGTTTAGGATCATAAAAGACGAAACATTGAGCAGTTGTGACGACGATTTTTTTCTTGATTAGTGCACCACCGCAGATGTGTGTGCCGTTAGCTGTTTGTAGTGAGACTACATAAGGATGTGCCGTAATGCTTGTCTCGGCGCCGCCAGTGAAGCCCAGCGCCACGGAAAGGCTGGCATGATAAGCTATTAAAATGGCTAAAATCCTTAATGCTGAGTGTACAAACATCTTTGCTGGAGAAATAAGAAATTTGTAGCTGAACCGAAGTTACGAAACGTTTTCGGTCTACTTGCGAATTTCTTGAGGCATACAATATATATAGTGGAAAAGCTATTCTATGCCATATTTACCTTAGACATTAATAATAAAATTAGCAACTTTGTTTGAAATATTGAGTAAATAAACAAATATACCAAGAAAGCCACGGTGGAAGTGAAGAGACAAAAATTATTCTGCTGATTTGAACGTTAGTTTTTGATATGGCATAATGATCTCTGCCGAAAATCGCTTCGGCAGTTACTAAGCTAAGCATGTCGTTAAAGTCTAGTTATCGAACCTATGTTTGGAAAATAATATTGTGACTAGAACTCGGTGATTGGTTGGCGCCTTGCCTGCTGCGAGCAACATTTCTTTGTCTTTTCCCCAAGTGCTGCCGGTTTATGATTTGCGGGTTTTAATACAGCTCTATACTTTTGTGGCGATTGCAGTCGTATGCGTAAGTAAGACTCGCCCTTTGACTGATCTATGTTCTTTACGTATATAAATAAAATTTTACTTAGAATAATCACACCCAACGATTTTACATATTCAAACAGCTGATCAATATAGACAAGCCAGTTTACTTCAGAATAAGCTTACCTAATCCAAACAGTAGCCAACAGGTCGCTAGAGTTTCACTCAAATATACTAGCATACGAAATAAAATCTGGTTTTTACGTATATGGTTTTTTTTTTTGTTAGTCTCCAATAGTGGGTTTTTCTATAGGCCAATCTCCACCACTCTAACGTTTCATACGACCACCAGGCAGTTGCAGATATTTAGCAGTGGCCTTCGTAGACATACATTCTATCATACGCAACGCAACTTCCCAGAAAGAGAAGAATGGAAGGAAACCATCGCCTTAGCCAGACACCATCTGCTCGCATAGCGAAGGGATCTTTGGGCCAAAATAATCAAGTTTTGCAAACTATAGACTTATTAGATGAAAGCGGAAGAGAAGTTAAATTCCCGGAACGTCATAGCATGTTTCAAGCGTGACGGCTTTATTTGTGCAGCTGTTGACGCCAATTCATGTAGACGCAAAAAATATATACATACATACATAGGTATTTATAGTCAATAGAGACGAGAAAGAGGTGGAAAAAAACTTGTGCGCACTTTATATTTAAACACGATTCAACTAGAAGCCAGCATTCAAATGAGGCGAACTGTTATCTCACCGCTAAGCAAATAGTAACATATGCTATAAAATGCTTAAAATTGTTTATATAATAATCTCATTAATTTACGCGTTAATTATTATCACTACACCACCCTTTACTCGTACAACGAATTGGCAGCCACAGTCTCGGTTATCCACGTACGTACATGCGCCACATTCACGTAGACGCCCGGATTCCCTGCACGCGCGCAACCAACACCCCACGATATAATACCAGCCAATTGATTCGCTACCAACAGTGGCCCACCCGAATCCCTTTGGCAGGCATCCTTACCACCGGCCGGTAGGCCAGCGCATAACATGGCGGCCGTGAAGCGTCCACCATATGCCGCCGTGCACATCGAACGATCCAACACGAACACATTGACGGCCTGCAATTGTTGTGCCTGCACGCCACCTTCGGACAGTGTACCCCAACCGGTGACGGTAGCCTGTGCGCCTACAGCCGGTGCTGTCGTTACCAAAGATACCGCCGCTATTCTTACATTATCAAATAACAGCGGTGTGGCGAGAAAGAGTAACGCCACATCATAATCCGTTGTTGAGGCATTGTAATGTTCGTGCACTACGATGTGCTCTATGCGCGCCACTAAACCATTGCTGCCGGTGCGTGTCTCAGTGCCTGCAACAACTGTAAAATCATCCACAACACGTTCGCCCACACAATGCGCTGCCGTCAGTATGGTATCTTCGTTGAGTATATTGCCGCCACAGTGATGCAGGTAGGCGCATTCCTTGCAGGTCTTGCGACGCAATGAAATTTGATGTTTATGATGTAAAATCGTTGCATCTACGCCACCCACAATACGATTCTCGAACTGCGGCGTTTGTATGCTGCTCGCCGCGGCGTTGCTCAAGAAGAGCAGTAGAAGTACAGTGAGCGCTAAAGGTAAGACTGACATGTTGATTGTACGAGTACTCCTTAGGCGGCGGCAGCAACTTGTTGTGCCGAACGTTTAACGAAAACTAAATTCAAATAAATATTTGAGTTATCATGACATGATTTGAATACTGGAAATTGCAGCATTCTTTTATTGCTTATTTTTGTACATTTTTTTTTGGTATATTTTTCAGTGGAGGGTATTTGTGCAATGTCACGGGTGGCTACTCAGTTCGACGCATAACAAATGGGAGTGTATATATTACGTACTGGCATTCTGAAAGCCAGGGTTCGGCCAACTTCCAAAATTATAGAGAATTGATTTTTCCGATTGCCGTCGCCGCTCGGCAGGGAATATCAAGACCTCCGAGAATATTTCTGATAAACTCCATCGGCGACAACGGCATTCGACAAAAATAGACAAATAATACAAATCGGAGGAAAAGCTCGGCCTTCACTGGTCAAATTATATATATAGCGGGCTTTAAACTGAGCAATAACTTAGTTGCGAGCAAAAATAAAATAATTTAAAAAATTGTAAAAAAAATTTAGGCCTTAACCCTCCAATGGACAATAAAACACACTCTACAACACACATTATTATCACTACCGTTATCACTTAAGTAGTAGCAACAACAGCTGATTTATCGAATAATAAGCTTTATTATGCTATTCAAATCTATATTCGTGTGTAGACACATGTTTTAAGCACAGTTCTATTAAGTAATTAAATAATAATTCGATAGTCAATTAATTAAACGCCTTCCTTCTCCCTTTTAACACTTTTTCCTTTTCAATAAATATTTTTTTTTTTTGGTTTCTTTTTTTTTCTCATTGTTGCCTTAAGCGGTCGATTGTAGCTATAAATTCTTATCGATGAAATGTGATAAACAGCGGTAAATACATTTTAATGTATGTATGGATGGATGTTTGTATTTATGTATTATAAATGGCACCTGCAAACAGTTATACGAGTATGTTTTTTGCCGAATAATGCAATTTAAAATGTAGCAGCGCTCAGAGAGATGATCTAACGATTACTGTCCAGAGTATATTAAAGTTATGGAGGGAAATACTTCGGCAGTCAGCTGAATGGCAGTAAAAATGGACCAGAGATGGCTAAGCCGATTTCCCTATCAATGATGTTTCATTTCCTAACTATGAAAAAGTTCGTATAGCAATCGCCCGCTTAAAAAACAACAAGGCGGCAGGGACCGGCTGCAGAGACCGGCTGCAGAGACCGATTATCAGCCGAGTATATCAAATACGACGAAAAGACGAAGAAAACTAGCAAGGGGCATATGCAACAACTTCCTGGCAGAATGCGATGGAATAAAAGCATGCCCGATGATCTGTCTCATCCACAAAATACCTACTCAATATCGCATATAACTTCCTACCGAAAGTACAGTGTGAATGACTAAAGACAACCGTCAATAAATTGATTGGATCTTATAAGTGTGGCTGGTAAATCTGGTGAATCTAAGTTTACTGAATGACGAACCGTTCGATACCAAACGCGATTTCAGACAATGTGATTCCTTATCGTGTAACTTCTTTAACCTATTGCTTAAAAAACACGAGCTGAATAGAGACACTATTGACTATTGACATTGATTGATAAGCTTGGCTTCAGCAACCGAGCCGTGAGTTCTACTTTCCCCAGACTGAATGGGTTTGGCTTCCACAACACAGCTATTGACAGCACTACGTCATAGATAATTTCAGTCTTGAAGAATATAACAGCAACTGTGAAGTCCCATATGGATTTACTGTTGCCAATAGCTGCAACTTTGGATTGGACAGGCAAGTGAAAAGTAAAATTCTCACTCAAGCATGTCAAACTCTGCAATACGCTTTTAAATCCCCTTCTGCTGTATAGTGCTGAGGCGCGGACGATGTCGGCTTTAAATATCTTTGGGATAATAGTTTTTGAGTACAATTTATGATCCTTTACGCATTGGCACTCCAGCTTCGAAAGTATTTCATGTTTTGCCTGCTGTTAGAAGCAGAGGAAAAGGAAAACGTGCACTCCGTTGAAAAGCTCTACCTCATCTTGGCGACCTAGTTTCACTTGGTATTTCCAACCGGCGTCAAAAAGCGCGATATTATTAATTATGCTTTATTCGGTACCTACGCCAATGAAGAAAAAGAAGAAGAATGTAGTCGATGCTTTTAGCGAAGTTTCAAAAAAATGGATCTCCACTTTCAACACTTCTACTAGTCCCCGTACAGAGGCCTTAACTTCCTGCTTTTCTTCTCACCCTGATTCGTCTAGGATCTCACACGAAAACTCGGTTGTCGCTTAAGGCTTTCATATCAACTATTATGCGGCATTGTTCCTAATATGAAAATCATTTATTTGATTTCGTTCAAAAAAAAATTTTATTATACTTAATTTCATTAACAAATGATGACTTTACAAAAATGCAAACGACTCCTCGTCCTCATTATTCTTGGAAAGCTCTTCTATTGCGCTAGTTATCCATTCACGTAGTTCTGGTACACTTGCATAAACTCCGGGATAATCCTTTTTGGCACAGCCCTTAGACCATGAAACAATACCAACGAGTTTGCTTTCAGCCACTAATGGTCCACCCGAGTCGCCATCGCAAGCGTCCTTCTTCAGCGCATAAGCACAAACCATTGACTCCATGATTTGATCGCCATATTTGTAAGTGTCGGAGGCACAATCCTCCCGCTGCACAATATTTACATCCACAGCTTGTAAAGTGCTTGGTTGCAATAAGCACAGCGCACATCTAATACCCCACCCAGAGACAACGGCGCGAGTGCCAGTCGCTGGCACCGTGTCTGCTAACTCAATATAGCGTATGCTATCCGTTTGCATGACGGGTTGCGCCAATCTCAATAAAGCAATATCATTTACTGCAGTTCGGGCACTAAAACCAGCGTGCGTTTTAATACCCGTCACTTCCGCCAAAAGGCCACCACTTTTGGAATTCGTAGAACCTAAACGTACAAGTATTTCATTTGGTTCAATACCGAGCAGACAATGTGCCGCCGAGAGCACAAAATCCGCGCTGATAATACTACCACCGCAAAAGTGTTGTTGCTCTTCAATAAGCCACAATGAAACTTGATATGGATGCGCTTCGATGGATGTCTCCTCACCGCCTACAATGCGACCGCCGAAAATGTCCGGCACGGTGGCGGCGGCCAGAGCGTTAAGGAGAGCACTCAAAACCCAAAATCGAAACATGGCAAAGGCGAGCAACAAGTAAACTGCACGAAAAGTAGCGTGAAAATTTTTTTTATAAGTAAAACAGAGGCGAAGGAGCCGAAATTGAAAGAAGTGTCAAAAGCACTAATCGCACGACAATATTCATAAATCTTTAGCAATAAATACAATCCACGAAAGTTATCATAAATCAAAACCTAGAGATTGTGCATTCAAACAAACGTATAACTCAATTTAGAATGGAAACCATATTTGTCTTTCGATAATATTTGTTTTTAATAATTAAACTTGTACTAAGTTCTGCACACATGCTTAAATCGCCTCAATTGCCTGCAATATCCAGTCGCGTAGGTAGGGCACATTACTGTATACGCCAGGATAACCCTTCTTGGCACAGGCATAACCCCAAGAAACGATACCAACGAGCTTACCCTCCGCCACCAATGGACCGCCCGAATCACCCTGGCATGAGTCCTTCTTCAAAGCATAAGCACACACCATACTCTCCTTGATCTGCGCACCATACTTATAATCGCTGGAAGCACAATCTTCACTTTGTACAATCTGCAACTCCACGGCTTGCAATGTGGTAGGTGGTATCAGACAGTAGGCAAAACATTTAGTACCCCAACCTGTTACCACAGCAGGTGTGCCTGTCGCTGGTATCGTCTCTGCCAATTCTATATAGCGTACACTACTCGATTGCGGTATCGAAGTTGCTAATTTCAAAATGCCCACGTCATTTTCTATGCTACTCGCATTGTATTTTGGATGATATCTCGCAGCCAACACCTTTACCAACTCGCCATCTTTTTTATTATTCGTTGTACCGGCGCGTACACGTATAGATGTCGCCTTGAAACTTTGCAGGCAATGTGCGGCAGTGACCACAATATCACCGCGCACCAAACTACCGCCACAAAAATGGCCACCCAATTTGGTAGAGAGTGAGACTTGATATGGATGTTCCTCAATAGTTGTAGCGACACCGCCAACTATACGTCCATCCAGATCGGTGGACATGTAAGCGCTGAACGCTGTACCAACGAGCGCACAAAATATTGTAAACCGTAGCATTGCTCCACTTTACTATTAGCAGTAAGCCTCTGGATGGCGTTTATAAGCAAATTGGAGCGCGTGCGAAATCATTTTTTATGGACTAGGAGATAACCATTGAAATGCAATGAAAATGTCTATTTTATCAGCTGCGTGATTTGAGTTGTAAATTAAAGTTAAGAATGCAATTTAGAAAACAGTCTCTGCAGTTTAAGCTAATTGTTTTCGGACCACTATTTTCCAGTTGCACTTCAAGTGCCCAATTAAGGTAGAAGCGTAGATCAAGCAAATAAATAATAAAAATTCAAGTGGTGCTCGAGGAGTGCGTTAAGTTTGGGGTTAAATACGCCATCATTCATATATACAAATAAGGACCATATACATATATAATGCAAAAAATTGAAGTTGACTGCGTTTCTCACTTATTACATTTCGAGATAAATTTATATTATTTTCGAATTTACTATTTCACCAATTTTAATTTCTTCATAATTTTGATTTGTTTTTAAAATTTGATTGCACGGAAATAAAGTTTCAATCAGAAAAATTATGCTCTCGCAGTTAGACATTTAGTCAGCTGATAAATAAAGTGGTAGTAAAACTTTTATTACGGAGCTGCCGTATTTTAACTCAAATAAATGGAAACCTTATTAAACTGAAAATATCTTATTATTTGAAAATATTCCTAGGAAAATATACAATCATATATACTTATTTACACATATATATATAGAGTTGCCACGTGTCCAAAATTTAAAAAAATTGACAAAATGGTTTTAACAAAATTAATTTCAAAATTAAGTGTTTTGTGTAGTTTATATACAAAAAGGATTTCGAAAAGTGTTTGCCACTTATATGAATTATATTTCTTTATGATATTTTTCATATTTTATATTAGCTTGACATTAGTTTTGCAATCTGACACAATTTTTAAATATATTAAAATTGTTTAAAAAATGAAAATAATTGCTTTTGAGAATGACACAGTCAGAAAATGTTTTGCAAATCGGATAAGGACTCCTTGGACAATACTCGTGGCGGTAGTGCAAAAGTAAGTGAAACAGTAATCAAAATGAAATAAAAAACTTAATCATTTCTTGATAAAAATTGCACTAATAATCGTAATAAAATTTTCAAAAATTTAAAAAACTCAACATAAATCACACGTTTTAACAGGCAGATTAATTTAAAGCCCAGTAAACTAAAGAGTGTTTTTAGACACATGTATGGTTTTCAAGAAGAAATACATAGTACTTGGCCACGGTAGCCGAGTGTTTAGCATTGCGTAACATCTAAAAGTTATAGAAATTTAATTAAAAATAAAAAATCAAGTTAAATTTTCTAATTGATGTCGTCAGTCAGCTATTACGTTTTAAGAATGATTTCAAGCAAGTCATCGTCGCAGCTGCAATGAATCAATTCTTGTCGATTGGGACAAATTCCGATCAGTTTTTGTAGTGAATGAGTCTCGGGCTTTACATAATCACACAAAAAATAGTTCAACTTTGTGAAATCGCACGATCTTGGAGACCAATTGACTGGCACACGACGCGAGATTATGCGCTGCCCTCAATAAATTAATTATTTCGTTGGCTGCACGTTGGCTGTAGCCCCAAATTATTGGAAGGATCCAAAGTCGTTTACATCAAAATCGTCCGATTCAGGTAAAGTGGTAAATCATGGCTCTATAGCATACTCCATGGACAGTAACATTATGGTCGGTTTAGTTTTTGAAGATATATGAACCAATGCTTCCCTTAGCTTATGGAATACACCAAACAGTGACTTTTTAAGGATATAGCCGGCGTCTCAACATTAACTTGTGAATTTTTGTCACTCCAAATTCAATAATTTTGTTTAGTACCCGTACCAAACGTACCGATTCAACCAAAACTGAGCCTTTTGATAGTCGTTCGGCTTCAACTCTTGCACGCATTGCATTTAGTAAGTCCTGAAGCTAAGATTCCTCCGCGAAATCTTCTCTAAAGTGGATGGGATGATAGGTTGACTGATTCCATTCGATACTCTGGTGCTTAGTACGAAATCGATTCATGGTTGCACGAAGCGTAGATTCTTCTGAACGATTTTATCTACCGGCTGTCAAAAAGACCAAACCGATAAAAGTATTGCCTGAGTGAAAGCCACACATCTAAAAAAACACTCTTTACATAAAAGGTATCGCTGAATGCCGATCGAAAATTTAAAAATACAGCGTTCAAAATAAAACTCCATAACAATCCAATAACAATCAATATTTTTTCGCTAAAAATCTTTTTTATTATTTGTATCAATATTTACTGCATTAATTGAACAAAAGCCTTAAAGTGTGGCCTCGGCATCCACGATCCATGAGTACAGTGATGCCACATCAGAGTACACGCCTGGGTAACCCTCTCTAGCGCAACCTCTACCCCAGGACACAACACCAACCAATTGGTTCTCAGCCACTAATGGACCACCAGAATCACCTTGACAGGCATCCTTTGACACAGCATACGCACAAACCATTGTGTCCTTAACCTCCGAACCATACTTGTAGGTACTGGAGGCACAATCTGCTACATCAACAATATCAACTTCAACTAATTGCAAGGTTGTTGGCAAAGTCAGGCAGGTCAGATAACATTTAGTACCCCAACCGGTAACAGCAGCTGGTGTACCGGTGGCCGGTGTGCTTTGTGCCAACTTAATGTAACGTATATTCGCAGACTCCGCTACTGGTGTGGCCAATTTCAACAAACCCACATCGTTCACCATTGTCTTGCTATTGTAGCCTGGGTGGAAAGCAAATGCACGTACAGCAACAAGTTCACCGCCAAGTTTGTAATTGGTTGAGCCCAAACGCACTTGCATCTGTTTAGCAGTATACGATTGCAAGCAATGTGCAGCCGTTACAATGGTGTCCTCATTGATAATACTGCCACCGCAGAAGTGTCCACCACTCAAAGTTTGTATGGATACCTGATAGGGATGCTCGCTAATGGTGGTGTCCACACCATTCACAATGCGTCCATCCAAATCATCGGGCAGGGTGGCGCCATAGGCCAAGCTGACCACAGCGAACAAGGCTACAAAACGAAACATGTTCAAAACTTTACTAATGTCTATTTGTCCGGGACAAATGGTTTATATAGTCGTGCCGAGCTTGCTGACATCATAAAAAATACACTAAGTTAGCATTGCTATCTCAAGCATTGAATCGAGTAGTAAGTACCGATATATATGTACACGTATGTAGGCTGCCTTTTGACATTTTAATGTTAGTATATTGACTGATAATATATTCACCAATCTATAGGTGCTTGTGCACGGATCTTCATTCATTGACGGCACAAGATTTTTTAAATTCAATTAATAAATTTTATGAGCTTTGATGATAAGTAAAATTTTCATCAGGAATGCGTATGATAAGTATGTTGTGTATGCATTTAAAATATTACTCGATATCATTATAATAAATCAAACGGTTTTATGCTGTCACGGCATTCAAAATATGTACAATATAACTGCATCTCTATTCACTGTAAAAGTATGACTAAGGCGATGGTTTTCCAATTACAATTGCGCAACAGGGAAATATTAGGCCAAGTAAAAAGTTCGTTCGGGTTTTATCTAAGAGATTTCGTAATTGTCCATAGTACTCGTGTTACGTGTCGCATCATGCCATACTATACGGCGCTGACAGTTTTTCAATTGATTGACTCAGTACGTTGTGAGCGCTCGTCAAAGATGGACACCAGCAGAGAGAAAATTCGCTATATATCTTACAATTTATCTTCAATCAAGGCTATAAAGCAGCCAAAGCGGCTGAAAAAATGTATTTAGTTTATGGGCCCAATACTGTAAACGAACGTGTAGCACAAAAGTGGTTTGCTAGGCTCCGTTCGATGTCAAAGATGCATCACACATTGGGAAGCCTGTCGTCGAAAATTGCGATAAAATCATGGAAATAGTGAAAACAGACCCGCACTTACTGAATTGCTGAGAAACTAAAGATAAGCCGGAAAACCGTTTGGAACTATTTGTATAACCTTGGATTCAAAAAGAAGTTCGTTGGTTGGGAATTCCCATCTGCGAATCGCTGCTAAATCGCAACAAAATCGACCCGTTTCTGAAGCGGATTGTGACTGGCGATGAAAAATGGGTCACATACGACAACATCGAGCGCAAACGGTCGTGGTCAAAGCTCGAGGAAGCTGGCCCAGACGGTAGCCAAGACCGGATTGACAGCCAGGAAGGTGTGCTTGGTGGGGTTGGCAAGGAATCATCTACTACGAGCTGCTCCCCTATGGCCAAATGCTCAATTCTGTCCTCTACTGCCAACAAATGGACCGCTTGAAGACAGCACTCATCCAGAAGAGATCATCTTTGATAAACAGAGCCCGAATTGTGTTCCATCAGGACGACGCCAGGCCACACACGTGACGCGGCAGAAGCTCCAAGAGCTCGGATCGGCGTCCTAATGCACCCACCTTATAGTCCTGACCTGGTACCAAGTGATTACCATCTTTTCCTGTCCATGGTGAGCGCGCTCAATGGTGAGAAGTTGGCCTCAAGAGAGGTCTCTGAAAACTGACTTTCCGAGTTTTTTGCCAATAGTGACGCAGCCTTCTACGAGAGGGGTATAATGATGTTGGCATCTCGTTCACATCTCGTTGGCAACAAGTTTACGAACAAAACGTCGCATATTTGACTAAAATCGGAGAAATGTACACAAAGTTATCATAATCGGAAAATAAAAAACCGAACGAACCTTTTACTTGACCAATATAAATAATTATCGTATTGAGGGTGGCAGTAAATCAAAGCTTCGTTATATTGCTTTTTCATTAATTGATATAATAAATAAAATCTAGATTGCCGAGTAATGTATAAGTTCCTCGTTCTTTGCTCTAAACTTTCCTTTTTGTCGTTATAGAATTACTGTACAAAAATTGACAGCTTTGCGTATGAGGGACAACTTGTAGAGTTGCATTTGGACATCTTAGACGTCAAAGTCTATCTTTGACGCAAGGCTACGCAATAGTTCAATCTGTCATCAGCAATAGAGATTATAACCTCATTTTACGTTGAAATATTTTTATTCAGTGAGTAGTTCAGAGTTTCTTTAAGAAATATAAGTCTGGATACAAAGGCACGTAAATGCTGGTGCAATAATAATTATTTGAATAAAAAAAAGTTAGCAAAAAATCATGTTCTCTTTCTTCTGTAAAACAGCTCAAGAAGAATCTGAAATTTTTGTAATTTTATCGCGTCGCTCAAATTGGTCGGCTTTCGATAATTGAGTCTCATCATTAATTGTATTGACATGCGAGCAATGTTGCCAGATGCGTCACACTTCTTAAAACCAATAAGCTTCGTCGTCATGAGCAACAAAACATTTCTTCTACAATTTCCGCGTTAAGTTTAAGTCAATAACGCGTCTTAATGGATTGATCTGATAATCGGTTAAAGAAGAACGTTTCTATGCCAACAGTTGTTTGTAGCTCTAAATCGTAACGGCGCAAAATACCATTCATCTGGTTGCAAAATTTTTATATCAGCCTAAAATTATACTTTGAAATATAATAATTATGTATTTAGTAGAAAAAGTATATTTACCTATTTTAAATTTATTTATTTTCATCTGATTGGCTGCTTTGGTGATAAGCGTGGGAGTACTTAAATAATTAGGAACTTGTAGATAAACGAAATAAAAAAAACTTACCTGATAACGGCAAAAACTTAAACTACTCCCCTTTCATTCATATGAACCAATATAATATAATATATTTAATGTTTTTCTCAACAAATGCTTATATGTTGGCGCCTCCGAAATGCCGATTCATTTCTATGAGGTGGGGTGGACATTCCCTGTCCTTAGGCGAACGGTCGGCTTGAAGAAGATGTCGGACTAGGACTCGGACAGTGGCCTTCTGAATGACAGTACACTCTGCTAAACACTCGGTTTTTTTAGTCTTATAAATCATGATAAAGAGTTAAGGAGTTTGATTTTGAAAATGAAATAATCAACAACCGCAATACCTCCCACCAGGCACCACTGCATTGTTATTCGTTACACAGAGCGTGGTGTGATTCTCCTTAACTTGATTATTCTGTTGGTATCATGGTCGTCACTTTCGTCGTCCACCATTGGCTTTCGCTTCGAACACCTTTATTCCGATCAAAGGGATAGTTCCAAATACCAAAAATTTGCAAAGTGTTTTTATCTTGAGCACTTCCAGCCCGGTTGCATCCATCTTCTGCACATGCTTCTACGACCGTATATATAGAGCGTAGTACCTACACGATGGCTAGTCAGCTTTAATCTTTCTCATTGCACGCTTGACAAGGCCTTACGTAAAAATACCAACTGATTCCTCTGGTAGTTGGCGCATATCGTAGAATCACCCTTCTTAAATACAGGACAATGTGAACGGGATTACAATGTTTCTGTTATTATAACCGCATGATGTTAACCGAATTAGATTTCAGGTCGGGTAAAAATTCGTTTCGTTCCGTTATAAAGATCCGACTGTCGCAGGAACTATTGGATTTTAGTCGCCTCTTACGACAGGCATGCCTTACCACGGGTAAATTCTTGAGCCCCTAACCCGCAGGGGCAGAGATTCCAATCGACTGGCATGATTTCCACTAGCGACATTTAGACAAGAAACTAATGAGTGCGCTCTGTCAGGTTATCTCCGCCAGTTCAACAACAACTTTCCATGAAGTGCGTATGCTTGTTTGCCCATACTTTAAGTGGACAATGAGCATATGTTACCAGTTTATTATTTTTAACAGGGCTGTATGTTGCTCCGGACTCGAAGCCTTGACTCAGGCGGTTGATCTGTTGTTAGAATTTTCGAAAATCATTTCTGTCCAGTGCAACCTCGAGTCCCTGTTACCTCTCTTTACGTGTGAAAACTAATCTTTTTTGCTGTTTTCAATTCTTTAGTTCACATAAGGAAGTCCTACAGTATCAGTATACTACTTCAAATATCATCGCACAGACGAAAACAGTCGTTACAATGCGAAGAAACCTGAATAGAAGAGAGGACTAATTATGAGTAAATTTGAAGAATAGTCAATTTTTAAATCAAGAATACCTTTATAACAAATATATGGAGTGAATTGTTAAAATGTGTATGCTGAAATGTTGGATGCCAGAATCAGCTGCTCCGTTATCCAAAAAGTGTGTTCTGCACTTGCTATCTATCTATCTCTTTTTTATATTGAATGAATCTCGATAATTGTCTGCATCCTGAAACTTGGCAGTGGCGGGCATTTTAAGAGTAAATTCTGACAAAAACACATTTATTTTTATATATAGTCAAATTTTTATTAAAACAGAAAGTCCTCCAAAATTAATATTAACACTTAAAAAATATTTAAATGAGAATTTCCCATTCAAGTATATTATCAAGCAACTAGGAAACTTTCACAATTCCTCAGCTTACAAACTTTCGGCAATGTCCAAAATCCATGAGCGAAGCGAAGATACATCAGCATAAACACCGGGGTAACCCTCCTTAGCACAGCCATTACCCCAGGATACAACACCGACCAGTTTGCTCTCAGCAACCAATGGGCCGCCCGAATCACCCTGACAAGCATCCTTCTGGGTTTCATAGGCACACAACATTGTATCGAGAATACTTTTAGCACCGTATTTGTATTGTTTGGAAGCACAATCCTCCAAAGACACAATGTTGACATCGACCTTTTGCAATGTAGTGGGCAATGTAACGCACCAGAAGTAACATTTAGAGCCCCAACCGCTGACGACCGCCGTAGTACCAGTTGCCGGTGACTCTGCTGCCAATTCTATGAAGCGTACAGTAGCTGATTCAACTACCGGTGAGGCCAATTTCACAACAGCCACATCATTTCGTCTAGCAGTCTTATTGTAGCCGGGATGTGCGTAGAATGTGCGCACATCAATCAGTTTACCACCGCTATTGTGATTGGTCGATCCTACACGTACTTGCAACTTATCATACGAGCTCTTTTGCAGGCAATGTGCTGCAGTTAATACGGTGTAGGCATCGATGAGACTGCCACCACAAAAGTGGCCACTACTGCTTTGCAGCGATATTTGGTAGGGATGTGCCTGAATGCTGGTGTCCTCACCATTGACAATGCGTCCATTGAAGTCGTTGGTTAAAATTGTGCCGTAGGCAACGCTGAAGACCGCAAAGATTACTACGAAACGGAACATGTTTGGAAGTAAATGATTGACTGTGATTCCATTGAGATGTTCGCATGGGTTTATATAGTAATAATCGAGATTAACTTCCATATGGTTTTAATAATGTTTTGATTTGATTACCCATTTTTTGTACGGACCTTCCACACTTTTAGGTATTTTTCATTCCTTATCACTACGAGTATGAACAGTTGAGAAAGTAGGGAATCCGATTACCTATAGGCAATGTAAGCGATATGATAAGGACGGTATGATAAAGACATGTTATTGTTTTGGGATATCCGGAATTGTGTGGAAAATTAAAGTTTCCCGTCAACAAACTGATCAGATCTTATCTTACTGGCTTAAAATCTGATCTATTCGCCAGATTTTGGAAAACATCACTCAGAAAAGGATTGATAGACATCACTTAAAAATATTAAGACCTTCCATCATCCGACTGAGCCCGACTCGATTAAGTTTATACACCAAGTGACCACTTGAAGAACAAAAAGAGATGGCGGATTGCGTGAAAGACTTTTTTTAACGACGTAGACTAACGTAGGCTATAAAACGATGTACTGAAGGAGATTTATCGCAACATACACATAGTACAGTAACTGGACTAGCTAGTAGGTCGTCTTAGTGGATGAAAATACTCTCAATTTTCACTTTTCAATACTATAACTGCCGGTGGGGTTAGAGGAAGAGGCTAGTTTATTACTCTTTAGTGTAAGTATTGTGAAATCGGTCGAGTAATTCCTATAATTTGAGATTTTCCCCGAAAGCTGATAAAAAAGTTGTATTTAAAATTAATATTTTTATCTACCCTACAGGGAAAGCTCATTAGTTGTTAACCTAATAATCCTACTGTTTTCGATTTTTTCGCTGTGTAGTTAATTTCCATCGTTAGCAGCTGGGTTTTTTTTAATCACGGCAATGTCCTACGAACTGCCTATTGTCTGCCCACGCATCAGCTTCGTTCTAGTTAAATACTAGTTCACTTAGGCATATTGAATTTCTACTATCTTCTAGCAAACATCCCAACCAACCATAACGGGTAATACAGAGCTCACTCACGTAAGGGTGGCACAGAAACAAGGCGGCAATTAAGCAATTGAGTATGTCAACACAAATATCAAAATGCATAAGAACATACAAAAAGGCAATTAGCAATATATCGCGAGAAAACATAGGTTTTACGGATGTAGAAGACAATGAAGAGGCGGTTAAGCTAAACGAGCTGACGCTGCAGCGATGCTGTCACTATTAACTTCAAATATCGCTTAAGGTACTGGACCATGGGGAAATACTTAAGGTGTTCGAACACTTCCACTGTAGGACGTACATGGGTGGGAAGTGTGGATTTTAGACAAACCAAATTATGACTTACACTTTTTTGTGGCTGTTTTGACGGGGAAACCACTGCTGAGATATCATCTCGGCGGATGTCGATCCGATTAAAACATCATATCCCTCAAATCAAGACTTACGGAGGTGGACATGCAAAATCATAGTTGAAACACAATGAGACTCTTAGCTAGTAACTACAGTTCAATAGAACCACATGCAGAGAGACTAGTGGCAACCTATGGGAGATGTTACAGAAGCTGAAAGAAAGACGAGAAGAAAGAAACGATCACTCTCGAAAATAGCCGACTTCAAAGTCATGGTTATTATGAGTTTCATCAGAGAATTGAAATGATTAGATAATGGAGCCTAATGGAAAAGTTTTTGTTGCAGACATAAGTGTAATCGATGTAATAGATCGGTAGTCACTACAACCTAACCTCACCATAAATCTACATACATATGTACGAGGTGTGTTCAAAAAATATCGCGAATTTTGTGTTTTTTCAAAAATTATTTATTTATTCATGAATATCTATTTTATCCCCCCTTCAAAGTAATCCACATGAGATATTATACACCTGTGCCAACGGTTTTTCCAATCTTCGAAGCACATCAAAAAATCATTTTTTATCTTGTTCAGCTCCTCCTTCGATGCCGTCTTTATCTCGTCAAACGTAGCGTAACGTCGTCCTTCCATGGTCCTCTTCAGTTTAGGGAAAAAGAAAAAGTCACAGGGGGCCAGATCTGGGGAATACGGTGGCTGCGGCATCATTAGTGTATTGTTTTTGGCCAAAAAGTCTCGCACAAGCAACGATGTGTGAGCAGGGGCGTTATCGTGGAGCAAAAGCCTATTTTTGTTCTTCCACAAATCCGGGCGTTTCTGGCGGTTTGTTTCGCGCAAATTGCACATAACTAGCTGGTAATATTCCTTATTGACCGTTCTACCCTGTGGCAAGAACTCATGATGCACCACGCTCTTGCAATTAATTTTTCCGTCTGTTGTTGTGGCGTTCGGCACGCTCTTCGTCGTTCACATCTTCTTGGCCTTCTAAGAACATTTTGTACCACCGATAAAAGTTGCTCCGGTCCAAAGTAGCTTCTCCGTATGTCACAGTCAACATTCGGAATGCATCCGCGCACTTAATTTCGTTTTTCATACAAAATTTGATACAGGTTCTTTGATCCATTTATTAGAATAGGTAAAAATCGAAGATTATCCAAAATACGTGCAAGCAAAGCAGCTGTCAACAATTAAGTGAACATTCAAAATGGCCGAGCTTGTCGGCATAAGTGACAGACATGAGTACGAACATAACGCCACAAAAAAATCGAAATTCGATTATACGTAATCCTCGAAAATTCAAAATTCGCAACACTTTTTGAACACACCTCTTATGTATGTAAGCGTATAAAGTTTTAGTTGTTTTTAATTGGCATTTTTTTCATAACATAATATTTTTTATGAAATTGGAACTAATGTTTAACGTATATTAAAAAATATATATATATATACATATATATAAATAGTTTTATTTTTGCCTTTTCAAAGCACACTTTACAGAGTGCGAGCAGCATTTAAAATCCAAGTACGTTCATCGGCAACATCGCAGTACACGCCTGGATAGCCAGCTGTAGCACAACCATTACCCCACGACACAACACCGACCAGTTCATTGTTAGCTACCAATGGACCGCCAGAATCACCTTGACAAGCATCTTTGCCCAAATCATAAGCACATAACATAGTATCCTTAATCTTTGAGCCGTATTTATATGCCTTGGAAGCACACGCATTCCTATCAACAATACCAACTTCAACTTCTTGCAGGATTAATGGAGACTTGGTGCAGTTTTTGTAGCATTCAACGCCCCAACCAGTGACGACAGCACGCGTACAAGTGAGTGGCGTACTGCTGGCCAAGCGAATATAACGGATACGAGTAGATTCGCTAACTGATTCGGCCAATTTTATTATAGCAACATCATTGTAGTTGGTCTTATGCACGTAGTCGGGATGAATTTGCAAAGCACGAGCACGCACAACACGACCGCCCCCATTGTAACTGGTACTACCGAGTCGTATTTGAATTTGAGCAGCTGTGGTCGTACGCAAACAATGCGCAGCTGTGACAATAGTGTCTTCATCGATGATGCTGCCACCGCAAAAGTGACGTCCGTTAAGTTTTTGTATGGACACCTGGTAGGGATGAACCTCGATGGTGGTATTCACACCCTTTACAATGCGGCCAACGAAGAGGCTAGTGGGTACAGTGCCAGCAGTAATGGCACTCGCGAGCGCAAATAAAGTAAAGAGACCTAACATGCTATCTAAATAAAGTGAACTGGCAGGCATATGACAAAAATGTTAAGCTTTTATAGGCTTTAAAAAGAATTAAAATGTGGGCAAGCTTCTCAATTATTGTGTCTTAGTAGACATTTGGACATGACAACAATTTTGTGAAAGAATACCTACTATATGAGAGTTTAATTTCCAATAAAAAATTTATTTCTCGGAAATAATTTATACAATCTACCATTTCGCGCTTATCGGTCAGTCAACAGCAAAGATAAGTATAAAATAATTAAATTTGTGGATACTCGAATACATATATGTTTATTCGTGAGCGACAAAAATATTTTTATGATTTAGTGGTATTGAAATCGGAAGTGCTTATAGTCAGATATATTTATTCATTCTCATTAAAAACATATTGAGTTTTATATAGATAATTTTTTTTATTGAACCAGAAAGTCATACAACATTTGATATGAACTTTTACTTTGCATTGTTGTATTTTATCAAGCAACTAGGAAACTTTCACAATTCCTCAGCTTACAAACTTTCGGCAATGTCCAAAATCCATGAGCGAAGCGAAGATACATCAGCATAAACACCGGGGTAACCCTCCTTAGCACAGCCATTACCCCAGGATACAACACCGACCAGTTTGCTCTCAGCAACCAATGGGCCGCCCGAATCACCCTGACAAGCATCCTTCTGGGTTTCATAGGCACACAACATTGTATCGAGAATACTTTTAGCACCGTATTTGTATTGTTTGGAAGCACAATCCTCCAAAGACACAATGTTGACATCGACCTTTTGCAATGTAGTGGGCAATGTAACGCACCAGAAGTAACATTTAGAGCCCCAACCGCTGACGACCGCCGTAGTACCAGTTGCCGGTGACTCTGCTGCCAATTCTATGAAGCGTACAGTAGCTGATTCAACTACCGGTGAGGCCAATTTCACAACAGCCACATCATTTCGTCTAGCAGTCTTATTGTAGCCGGGATGTGCGTAGAATGTGCGCACATCAATCAGTTTACCACCGCTATTGTGATTGGTCGATCCTACACGTACTTGCAACTTATCATACGAGCTCTTTTGCAGGCAATGTGCTGCAGTTAATACGGTGTAGGCATCGATGAGACTGCCACCACAAAAGTGGCCACTACTGGTTTGCAGCGATATTTGGTAGGGATGTGCCTGAATGCTGGTGTCCTCACCATTGACAATGCGTCCATTGAAGTCGTTGGTTAAAATTGTGCCGTAGGCAACGCTGAAGACCGCAAAGATTACTACGAAACGGAACATGTTTGGAAGTAAGCGATTGACTGTGATTCCATTGAGATGTTCGCATGGGTTTATATAGTAATAATCGAGATTAACTTCTATATGGTTTTAATAATATTTTGATTTGATTATTTATGGTAGGTAGATTATCGCTTGGGAAAATCCATTTTTTGTACGGACCTTCCACACTTTTAGGTATTTTTCAATCGTTATCATTACGAGTATGAACAGTTGAGAAAGTGGGGAATCCGATTACCTATATGCAATGTAAGCGATATGATAAGGACGGTATGATAAAGACATGTTATTGTTTTGGGATATCCGGAATTGTGTGGAAAATTAAAATTCTCCAACTTTATGGCTTAAAATCTAGTATGTTCACTATTCACCAGATATTGGCCAATTCTTGGAAAACCCCATTCGGAATGAAACGAAGTATGTATAAGACTAAAACTCTAGGAGCTAAATGTTTTATATTTTAATATATTATTTTATTTTATTTTGGGGTATTTTATTTTATTTTATTTTATTTTATTTTATTTTATTTTATTTTATTTTATTTTATTTTATTTTATTTTATTTTATTTTATTTTATTTTATTTTATTTTATTTTATTTTATTTTATTTTATTTTAATTTAATTAAAATTGTTTTAAAACATTCTTTTTTATTTAAATTAATTTAATTTTATTTTAAAACTCCTCACCCTCCTCCGCGAACACCATAAAACTTAGGGAAAAACCTACCAAGTGTTAGTCTGATGTGATGAAAAGTAGTATACGCTTTAAATGTATATACATATATAATATATAAATCCATTCATATATTACTTGGATAAACTGTGAGTTAATCAATAAGCATAACTTTTGGAAAAAAGTTATAGAAGATGAATTAAAAAAATTAATTTATACAAAAAATTAATTTAAATTTTATGATTGCTGTAGCCCCTCGGTAGAGAATGTCAACTCTTCCGAGTGTAAATGCTTTCCAGAGTATCATTTCACAATCATAATCTCAAGTCGAAAACAGACAACCCATTACTTAGCGGACAAACAAATTTAATTAAATTTAAATACAATTAGTATAGTACAATATTTATTTTTTTATTATTTTAAATAAACAAATAGTTAATCAAGTTTTTTTTTGTAAATAACGGTACATTAATACTATACACACATATATTTAGGACCACAAATTTATATAACAATCGCATCAAGATTGTAATCTTAGCTAAACTAAGCTGCTTCTCCCAATAGAGAATTTGATTATTTCACTCGCTTTTATTGTACAAAACTGCGGTAAATATTTTGTTGAATTAGAGTATAAAATAAAAAAAAATTCATTATTTGTCATTTTAATAAATATACCGTTATCTTAAGGTCAATTGAGAACCTCAAAAAATATTCCTTAAGCAATGAAAGACTTTTGTTATCAGAAAAAAAGTTTCAAAATTTGTGACGCCATGATAATTAAAGCTGCCTTGATAAACATATGTACATGACAAACGTCTAATAAAACAATTAAAAAATCGTAAACAAGCACTGGACTTTCAGTTAACAATATTAAGTAAAAAGACTTTATTTATCACAGCAGCAATATCCGGTTTTATAGATAGATTATATAAGAACCTCCCAACAAAGCTCTTCGAGCTTCTGGCGCGGCACTAACGATTTATCTTGCCTGGCATTGTCCTGATAAGACACATTTACCCTCCTAATAGCCAAAGTTGGGAGCCTATTGCGTGATTCCTTCCTTCCTTATGTAAGAGTTTAGCGGTGGTGAGCGGGATTGATTCTTAGTCAATCTCACCAAACGCGCAACAAAACCACCCGTTTTGTTAATCCTGCTTCGGAGATCCTTTTATACTGGCTTCGAGCTCGACCGATTTTGTTCTACGTTGTTGTATATGGTACACTTTTCTCCAGTCACCATCCGCCTCAGAAATGGGCCGATTTTATTACAAAATTCGGTCCTAATCATCTAATTTGAGATATGCATCTTAATGTTTTCCAATAGATAGAGGGACCTACCTTAGGCGCTTTCGATCACCCGTTTATCTTATGCGGAGGTACTGGATGTTGTCGGACCAGGATTTAAGCCGCAGACTAATTAACCTGCCAATTTTTTCTTGCTTTTGAGTCGCCAAGATATTAAAGCCTTGGTTTTATATCTAGGATTCAGCTAAGTTGCAGCTCTTGGGATTATGAGTGACTCGTAGTGACTGAACCTTTCTGCCAATAGCTGACGCAAAAACCCAATAGTATTTACTACTTCTGGTGTGCTTAAGGGCATTCATATTTTTTAAAAAACTGGTCATGCTGTGGCTTAACTCCCAATAAATTTGGCAAAATTACCTCAGAATAAACGTTGCTTCTTAAAATGATTTCAACTATCGATAGTTAAGAAAAATTGGAACCATAAATACTATCGATGGTTTCCGAGCTCTAGTGCGAAATATTTTCGGCGACAAAAACGTCAGCGTTGCTTACGCCTCTTAAAAAGAAGAAGAATAGTTACACAAACAAATTATTATTATGAAAACTGCAAAATAATAAATACTTCACTAAAATTGATGGAAATTATGAAATACTCATTTCTTTGGATGATAACACCACACCATTTCCTATGGACTGCGATAATAAAACTTTCATACGAAGACTGGCTGATAAAAACTTACTTTAATAAATTTAAAAATAAAAAACAAAAACGACGTCATTTTGCCGATTCCGAATTTCTCTTTCAGCAACTTTCGCGAAAGATTATAAAACTATAGGCACACATTGGTCGCGCGTACATTCCAAAATGTTGAGGCTCGTGATCGCCATAGCCGCACTTGCCTGCGTACATAGCGCACCCGCGTCTGAAATTTTGTCTGCACAATTGGATGGTCGGATTGTGAACGGTTCTACAACCACAATCAGTTCCTTCCCATGGCAAGTATCATTACAAAGCTCAGGTGCACTTTTTTGTGGTGGCTCCGTGTACAGCGAATATATTATTGTGACCGCGGCGCATTGCGTTGAAGATGAACCGCTTGAGTCGTTCAAAGTGCGTGCCGGTTCAACTTACTGGAATTCCGGTGGTATACTATCGAAAGTGGCGGCATATAAAATGCACGAATTGTACGGTACCAATGGCATGGCTTACGATATTGCCGTAGTACGTTTAGCTACGCCACTTAAATTTAGCTCTACCATTAAACCGATCGCTTTGGCAACCACAGCACCTGTGGATGGCGTCGAAGCTGTGGTTTCCGGCTGGGGTACCTTACGTTCTGGTTCGGCAACTTTACCCACGCAATTACGTTATGTTAACTTTAGTGTGGTCAGTATGGCTAACTGTTCCTCCGATGCTTACAACTACACCAATGAGGACATCGTAGAGACTATGATATGCGGTTACACAGTTGGCAAGGATGCCTGTCAAGGTGATTCCGGTGGTCCAATGGTAGCTGGCGGTGTATTGGCCGGTGTTGTTTCATGGGGTATCGGCTGTGGTTTTCCCAACTATCCAGGTGTTTATGCAGATGTGGCTGCTCTGCGTACATGGGTGGAGCAGACGGCTAGTAGTATTTAAGTGGTGGTGAATAAGAGAAATAATTTTAATAATGAAATACAAATATATACGAGATTTTGGATTGTGCTTGATTAAGGTTTCTAGTTTTCCATTTTAGTTGGTGGACTTTTGAATGACTGAAACGTAAATAAATATCACAGGACACATCAAGCCACATGCAACAAACTAAAGGATAAAAAATATAAATACGAGCATCGGATGAGAGACTCTCATTTCATGGATTTTGTTTTGAATACATACACCTAAAATATCTAATTCCTTAATTGGGAAAGTGCTGCTGCTCAGCTACTTCTCTTATAAAAATTAAGGCTGATATCACCTAGACACGAAAAGAGCGATAGCAGGAACAAAGATAGAAGAAGGTGGTCTTAGTGAAGTCTACATATGAGAGCGGAGCGAAAATTTTTAATGGAAGAGAGACTCTGTCGTCGATCCACTGGCATACTGAATATATTTCAGCCCAATTTATTATCTTAAGCACTTACCATTAATCTTATCTTAACCTTCTTCGCTTCAAGGGAATATCGCCTTCTACATGCGAAGCAGAGTCGATTTGTCTCACATGATTGCAGAGAAATATTCTCTCTATTTTTTTCAACTTTTATTAATAAAGCAAGTTCCAAATATATACGTGTATACATACATATATATAAATATATTTGGCGCTATGTAACCGCTGAAGTGATTGTCGGCCAAGCTCCTCAGCCGCCAAACTGTATTCTGCGTTTTGATGTTGAAGCTTTTTATTCATGGCCGAATCCCACTTACAGGGCTTCTCATTCCCTGCCGAGCGGCGACCGCAATTAGTAAGATTTTTTTTCTATAATTTTGAATGTCGGTCTAACCAGGACTCGAATTCTGGCATTTCGAATTGCCTTATGTAATGCTAACCACGCGGCTATTGCGGCCTCCACAGAGCAATTGCCATACTACATTTAATTTTCTTTCAAAATTTTGCAAAACTTACGTATGATTTACAAGCGATACAAATGCCATAAACTACGTACACCGTTTGATAGTAGTTCTGCGCCCAATAAAATAACCATTATAAATATTTGCTGATAAAGAAAACTTATACTTGCATTGCACAATCCGCAGTCGTCCAATGCCATCTCTCTCGGTCATTAGCATAGGCGAACAACTATATAAGCTTAGGTGCACTTGGTCAGCGGAAACATTTCGAAATGTTGCGGTACGTGATCGTGTTGACGGCCTTTGTTGGTGTATTTGGTGCACCCACGAACGAAATTGAGCCACCACAATTAGATGGACGTATTGTCGGCGGTGTGAGTACTACAATCAGTGCCTATCCCTGGCAAATATCACTACAACGTTCAGGCTCACATTCATGCGGCGGCTCTGTGTATAGTGAAAGTATCATTGTAACTGCGGCGCATTGTTTATCCAGTGGACCTGAGCTTTCAATACTCAAAGTACGTGCTGGTTCAACCTATTGGAATTCCGGTGGTATTTTATCGGCGGTTGCCGCATACAAAATTCACGAGCTTTACGGTACCAATGGCATGGCTTACGATATTGCCGTAATACGTTTAGCTGCGCCGCTTAAATTTAGCACAACCATCAAGCCGATATCTTTGGCTACACAAGCACCACCAGATAATGCGGCAGCTGTTGTCACCGGTTGGGGTACCAAACTCTCTGGCTCGGCAACTTTGCCCACACAATTACAAGCTGTCAACTTGGCTATAGTTAGTTTGGAAACATGTGCCTCGAATACTTATGGTTATGGCAGCAATAATCTTAAAGAAACCATGATTTGTTCGTACACCGAAGGCAAAGACTCTTGCCAAGGTGATTCTGGTGGTCCATTGGTTTCTGGCGGTGTTCTTGTCGGTGTTGTATCGTGGGGCTATGGCTGTGCATTTGCCAACTATCCGGGTGTTTATGCAGATGTGGCGGCTTTGCGTGAATGGGTGGAGACTAACGCTGAAACAATTTAAGTTAAAGTGAAGTGAATAAAAATGTTACAGAAAGCTAAAGAATTATTTCTTAAATTACTGACCTCATTCCTTCTTTACTGATATTTTCGCTACAATGCTAAATGCTATAATGGATTTTAGTGCCATAAAAATAAATTTATTTATCGATTCAACTAAATTCTTAACGCTTGTTATTCTGGTCAAAATATTATTCTACGTACATACATATATGTATTTTCAGTGCTCAGTCAGCACTTCCTTGACCATGTGTGATACTGTGGGTTTTTTCTTTAATTTTTGTCATTAAATTATGGCATGCCATAAATCAATACGTGCGCCTGAAAGCAGCATTCTGTAACAGAAGCATGTTGTCTACATAAACACTCATACATATATAGACAAGCAGCCGCCGCAGTCGAGTGGCTAAAAATGCGCACTAACATGCAGAGGGTCTTGAGTTCGAAATAACAACCAAAATTATGGGAAAAAAAGTTTTGAAAGTAATATTTCTAAAAGCTCCACATAAAAATCCCACAGCCGCGCGGAAATGGCTTAGCAGAGGATGTATTTTTGTAGACTTGCGGTTTTCAAGAAAAAATAAAACGGTTATACTTTAATATTGTGGCTAAGTACTTAGCTTTACTATGAAGATAAGGTCTTGTCCCTATGATTTACTAATGATTTCGGGCAAGCAACCGCCGCGGTATGTTCTTTTCGAAGGCGTCAATTTTTTTCGAGCTTATGTAGAATAACTATTTCATATAATCACATAAAAACTAATTCATCGCTGTTAAAGACCAACCTCGAAAAAAGTATTGTCTCACTATTTGCTGGTAAAATATCAAGGCGCCTACCATAAGTTAGAGAAGGAAACTGGTCGAAAATCGCCTCAGCGGTTATATAGCACCAATTTCAAATGTATATACAAATACATATCGAAATTTCTTGTCATTAAAGAGCCTTATAATCGGTCATACTTTTTTCAAAACAATTGTAATAATTTCAGTTTCCTTTTACGTGTTTGTATTCGACTTTCTGAGTTTATATGTAATACTGGTAGTATAAAGAAGGTAATTTTATCCGTCTTAGGAGGTTAAAATATTTTGACAGAACTTTACAAAAATTTGCATTTTTTGTAAAAAAAACAAAATATTTGTAAAAATACTCTGCTCCTATCTTCATTTCATTTATTTTCCTTCATCTAAATTATAGTTTATGGTATTAACTAAGGCATTTTTTCCAAGGATGATAGGAAATGACGTTACTGCGGCGGAGTTATGAATATTTTCCTTTTATGGTTTCAAAACCTCTTTTTGAAATGTACAACTTTAAAATAGTAAATAGTTTGACGAAAATAGTTTAAGTTTTATATAAAAAAAAAAATTATTAAATGTCGCCCTTTCGTTGGTTAAAAATTTCCTTCTGACAACGTTATACCCTATACCTATTGCCCGCCGAGATAACGTCTCAATCAGTGATAACTTCAAGCAATGAAGTAAATTTTTTCTTAAACTAATTTGAGTACAATATTTTCGAAATTTAGTATACGATCGTGCAATAGATAATCTAGAGATAGCCAATTAGATATATTTAAATTTTATACGTGAACAGGTGACTTTTACGTACGAATGTACTCATACGAATGAATATGTAAATATGAATTAAAAATATAGAGAAATGATTGACAAAAAATATATTAGGTGTAGTAAAAAGTTCGTTCGGGTTTTAACTAAGTAGTGGCGTTATTGTCCATAGTACTCGTAATACGTGCCGCATCATGTCATACTATACGGCGCTGACAGTTTCTCGATTGATTGACTCAGTACGTTGTGAGCGCTCGTCTAAGATGGACACCAGCAAAGAGAAAATTCGCTATATCTTACAATTTTGCTTCGATCAAGGCAAAAAAGCAGCCAAAGCGGCTGAAAAAATTAATTTAGTTTATGGGCCCGATACTATAAATGAACGTGTAGTATAAAAGTGGATTTCGATGTCAAAGATGCATCACGCGTTGGGAAGCCTGTCGTCGAAAATTCCGATAAAATGATGGAAATAATGTAAACAGACCCGTCACGTGAGCACTTATTGAATTCCTGAGGAACTAAAGATAAGCCAGAAAACCGTTTGGAACCATTTGTATAACCTTGGATTCAAAAAGAAGTTCGTTGGTTGGGAATTCCCATCTGCGAATCGCTGCTGAATCGCAACAAAATCTACCCATTTCTGAAGCGGTTTGCGACTGGCGATGAAAAATGGGTCACATACGACAACATCGAGTGCAAACGGTCGTGGTCAAAGCACGAGGTAGCCAAGACCGGATTGACGGCCAGGAAGGTTTTCCTGTGTGCTTGGTAGGATTGGCAAAAAATCATCTCATCTACTACGAAATGCTTCCCTATGGTCAAAGGCTCAATTCAGCCCGCTACTGCCAACAATAGGACCGCTTGAAGACAGCACTCATCCAGAAGAGACCATCTTTGATCAACAGGACCCAAATTGTGTTCCATCAGGACAACGCCAGGCCACACACGTCTATAGTGACGCTCCAGAAGCTCCAGAAGCTCGGATGGGAGCTCCTAATATACCCACCTTATAGTCCGGTCCTGGCACCAAGTGATTACCATCTTTTCTTGTCCATGGCAAGCGCACTTAATGGTGAGAAGTTGGCCTCAAGAGAGGTCTCTGAAAAATGGCTCTCCTAATTTTTGCCAATAGTGACGCAGCCTTCTACGAGAATGGTATAATGATGTTGGCATCTCGTTCACATCTAGTTGGCAACAAGTTTACGATCAAAACTTCACATTTGACTTAAATAAAAGACCGAACGAATCTTTTACTTTACGTAATATGAATTGCTTACTGCAAGGTAAACACAAATTTTGTACGTTGATCAGATGGGCAGTAACAAATTTTTACCAAACTTTATTGGATCGTGTTCGTTAAGCCAAAAACTATAAAAATTGGTAACGAGAGAGCGCAATTTTGACGTTTAGCTTGACTGAATGTTGCAAATTCGTGCTGGGAAAATTTGGCCCAGTAAAAATTAGCATATATGGAAAACAGCTTGATTACAAAACAGCTGATTGAATTTTTGTCAACAAAACAAAATTGATTTAAAATTAAAATAATTTTAATTCTTTAATATGAATTATATACCAACCAAATAAGTGGTTAAATGTAATGTTATTTAATTTAACTGAACAATATCAATGATTCCAACAATAGTAAAGGCACTCGTTAAACGAAAATGTTGTCGAAGTGGAGTGGAATCATCGCCCGCACACCAACCAGCTTGCGTTGAGAAATTATAAGTTAGGAAGACATAGAATTAGAATTTATAATTATTGTTTTGTACAGCACAAGTTTGTTTTTGAATTTCTATAACTTACTAGAAAGCAGTGTTCACCAAATGAGCTGCAAAACTTTACAAAGCAAGGGTCTCAATGAATTCTTTAGCTTCGGGAAGTGACGATGATGATTAAAATGGAATATTAGTAACATTTAGAAGGAGTTATTTTTCCTTATTTGGTTTTTATTTAAACAGAATCGAATAAATTATTTAAAATATTGAGTTAATATGGCCGGCTTACATGTAAAAAGGATTTCCAACTCTTTTCGTACTTCAGTCATCCTTACTAAAAATCCAAGCGACAAATTGTTGCAAAGCAAGTTTTTTTCCATTTTCGTCTTTTTTAGAGAACTATTAGAAAAAATCTATCAGTGTATTTATCGTTAATAAATTAAATATGCTATATAATTGCCAATTTTATTGAAATACTTATAAAAACACTAAAAACAAAAACAGAGTACAATAAACTGTGCAAATAAACGGATTCAAATTTAACCGCCAAAATAAACAGCTGTTATACAATTTGCTAACTAATGTTTACTGAATTCTGTTCATTGAAAGTTCAGTACTACGCCTTACGCCTTACTCTCTCATTCTCGTTACTAGCTTGTTTTTACTGACATTTCTCAACGAACACAGCTAAGTCGGCTTGTGATAGTCTTTAATCAGCGGATTTAGCCATTATTTCATGTATTCTGCTCACCACTGCTTCTTCACCAGAAAGTATAAAATTCCTCATTTTAAGCTACCACCCTTACACTTATCATATTGCCCTCTAACTCAGTCTTGGCGTAATTATTTTCGCGATTGACAGAACCCAGTTATCTTACAGACCAGTTCATGGGGCAGTAAGACCAGAAACTTTTCAAATGGGGGTTTTTTAGAATCGAAGAAGCCATCAGCAAACAATGGTATACGAGTAAATATTGCCAATCACCAAATCACCTATTACTTATCTAACGACTTCCCACTATCTAACGATGCAAAATATAAAGTGCCACATACACGTAGTTCATATCTCTTTAATTGTCCGCTTGCGGATGCCAACACTTGAAAATGACTTATTTTGTAAGCCAGTACATCGACAAAAAAAGGAAAAACTGTATAATACCATAAGTCTTGTAACAAACAATTGCCTATTTGCGTATCTCAAATATTTTTACGGGTATAAATAAGCTCTCCAACTTGGACGACACCAGTTGTTTGCAGCTATCTGTTGTTTAAGAAATGTTGAAGTTTGTGGTACTCTTGTCGTTCGTCGCCTGTGCCTTGGCTGGCACCATACCCGCTGGTATGGTCAGCCTTGATAACGGTCTTGCTGGACGTATCGTTGGTGGTACACCAACCCAAATCTCTGCATTTCCCTGGCAAATATCTCTCCAACGTTCCGGTTCACATTCGTGCGGTGGCTCTATCTATAGCACCAAAATTATTGTGACCGCAGCTCACTGCTTGCAATCGGTTAGTGCTTCAGTGTTGAGAATTCGTGCTGGTTCCAGCTACTGGAACTCCGGTGGTGTTGTCATCTCGGTCTCCTCGTTCAAAAACCATGAAGGATACAACAAAAATACTTACGCTAATGACATCGCCGTCATCAAACTATCATCATCGCTGTCGTACAGCTCTACCACCAAAGCTATTGGTTTGGCCACTAGCGCACCTTCCAATGGCGCTTCAGCTGCTGTCTCCGGTTGGGGTACCTTGAAATCTGGCTCATCTTCTATTCCAAGCCAACTGCAGTATGTCGACGTTTCGATTATTAGCGAAAGCAGATGTGCTTCATCCACCTACAGTTATGGTTCCTCCGTCAAGTCTGGCATGATCTGCGCTGCTGCTTCCGGTAAGGATGCCTGCCAAGGTGACTCTGGTGGTCCATTGGTATCCGGTGGTGTGCTCGTTGGTGTTGTTTCATGGGGCAAAGGTTGCGCTCTTGCCAAATACCCTGGTGTATACGCTGATATAGCCACCTTCCGCTCCTGGGTTGTTAGCACCGCCAACTCCATCTAAAGTCAACGTCGATATTAAAAATTATAATTAAATAAATGAAGAATTAAAAAAAAAATAATTAAATGTGTCTCTTTATATGTTTTGCTGTTTTGTAGGATGCAATTTAAAATTTAGTGATATTATTTTTACTATTGCTTTGACAATGTAACCCATTAGGCTTAAGCCATAGTATCATAATACTCTGTAACTCTTTACAAACAGTGAAGAGCTTTTTCGGCCGAGCTCCTCATGGAAGAACCTTTAGTTTGTTCTAAGCCCCCTCCGGACGCCGATGCATTTTATGATCAACCAGACTTTTTGGCGCAAGGCAGCCTTTTTTAAGAACTGAAATATTGTAGAACTCGGTCTGAAGGAATAATCCACCTTTTAATGACTACAATCATATATTCCTAGAAGAAATTGTGAGCATTAGAGAATCTGTCGAATGGTCATAGACTAATATAAGGAAATATATTGGTTTCTAGTAGACATTCATGTGTAGTAGAGAGATGCCTAGAGTTATATTTTAAACTAAATAGGTCACGAACATTATCAATAGCCCATTCTTATTTAGCAAGCTTATATTTAGCATCTCTATGGCTTATCTAGGCACTTTGTAGTGTTTCGCATGCTTGTGGAACTATTTCAATGCTTATTCCGCCGGCTTTAGTTCCTCCGACTCGCTTTTCTGTATCAAACAATTTTTACTGAGAGTTTTAGATATTATATATATGTTTGTACATAAGTACTTTCCTTCTGCCTGTTCTTCACAACTTCTTAATTTCCATGCAATTTTTAGCATCTGCTGATGAAATCTGCATCGCGTCCACTCTCGCGTACAGAGCAGTCCGGACTGTCACTGGTTTCCGTCACCCGTCTCTGTAGGATTTTCGTTTATCTTTAAGGTGCGTCTCTCGATCGATTGCGTGGAAGGGGGGGTAAAGCTGGGTTTTTCGTCATAAGAGGGACAAATAGAGAACTATACGGGTCGAACATAGTGAGCTTTATTTGCATACAGAAGGTAACGAAAAGGGAATGAGCTGGCTCATGCAGCCTTCCTTTAAGTAAGCTAAAGTTGAACACCACATCACACGAATATAAACAAAGGACTCCACATCAGAAACAGCGTGGATGTCTTTTAATTTCTCAATTAATCATTGATTGATCACACGATTGATGGAAACTCAAATGCCGCATTGCCAACAAGAGTCACACTGAATACAATCTCTGGAGTACAGTACCGTAAATATTGCATAAAAAAGCCGATATCATTCCTATAGTATCTTGGCTTTCCACGTCAAAAATAAAGTTCAGCGCTCTACTTCTGCCACTGTCGAAAGAAACAAGACATTCCCCTGGCGGACCATTTCATTATGTAGGGAAAGCACAAACCTTTCAAATGTGTTTTTCAAAGTCGAAGTAAACATCAACAAATTATGGGCTATGGTAATATAGATTCGGCTTTCACTTATCTAACTTTGAACCACTATCTAACGATACGAAATATGAAGTATGATACATATCTCGCTAATCAGTCCCACTTTAAAAGACATCTTTTAAAAGGCACGTCGTTGTCACAAAAAAAAAACACTATGTATATCACACCAGAAATCTTATAGTAAGCAATAGCCTTACTAGCATGACTCAAACATTTTTACGGGTATAAATAAGCTCTCCAAATTGGACAACACCAGTTGTTTGCAGCTATCTGTTGTGGAAGAAATGTTGAAGTTTGTGGTACTCTTGTCATTCGTTGCCTGCGCCTTGGCTGGCACCATACCTGCTGGTATGGTGAGCCTTGATAACGGTCTTGCTGGACGTATCGTTGGCGGTACACCAACCGAAATCTCTGAGTTCCCTTGGCAAATATCACTCCAACGTTCCGGTTCACACTCGTGCGGTGGCTCGATCTATAGCACCAACATTATTGTGACCGCAGCTCACTGCTTGCAATCGGTTAGTGCTTCAGTGTTGAGAATTCGTGCTGGTTCCAGCTACTGGAACTCCGGTGGTGTTGTCATCTCGGTCTCCTCGTTCAAAAACCATGAAGGATACAACAAAAATACTTACGCTAATGACATCGCCGTCATCAAACTATCATCATCGCTGTCGTACAGCTCTACCACCAAAGCTATTGGTTTGGCCACTAGCGCACCTGCAAATGGCGCTTCAGCAGCTGTCTCTGGTTGGGGTACCTTGAAATCTGGCTCATCGTCTCTTCCAAGCCAACTTCAGTATGTCGACGTTTCGATTATTAGTGAAAGCTTATGTGCTTCATCCACCTACAGTTACGGCTCCTCCGTCAAGTCTGGTATGATCTGCGCTGCTGCTTCCGGTAAGGATGCCTGCCAAGGTGATTCCGGTGGTCCATTGGTATCCGGTGGTGTGCTCGTGGGTGTTGTTTCATGGGGCAAAGGTTGCGCTCTTGCCAAATACCCTGGTGTATACGCTGATATCGCCACCTTCCGCTCCTGGGTTGTTAGCACCGCCAACTCCATCTAAAGTCAACGTCGATATTAATAATAAATATGAGACTAAAAAAAATTATTTGAATGTGTTTTTCTAACTAATTGCCATTGAGGGAATCAAGCGTGGACTCAACTATTCAGCACTGAGTTTGGTTTCTGATAGGATTAGGAAGCTAATTTTTCTTCGTCTGAAAGAGGTTTGTATCATATATAATATACATATATATATACCATTAACGCTTTATAATCGCAAAAGCGATTTTCGGCCGAACTCGTCTGAAAATTTGAGATTTTTCGTCTGGATGTTTTTCCAACAAATGAAGGGATCTACAGCTTAGCTTATACTACGCCGCCTCCGAACGATTAATGGTTTTATGGTTTTCATGTCAGACACTCGGAGGTGTTGACATTCCCTGCCGAGAGGTGACCACAATAAAAAAATTTAGCTTAATTTTTTATTTAAATAAATTTTCTACAACATTTTGTATGTTAGTACGACACCAGCCTTTCGAATGGCAGTACGTAGTGCTAACCATTCGACTATCGCGGCCGTCATAAGTGTATCCAAATTTCAATGTAAAGGCGAACATGGGGTTCTGACGTCAGTTCTAGAATGAAATCGTCGCACTTTCTGGTAGCTTCATAGAGAATTCAATGAACAATTAAGTTTATTAATTTCCTTCGGACGAAGTCAGACCCTTCTCTTATTGCCCATCGAAATAGCACCTCAATCAGTGATGTATTCATTAATTATCTATTTTATTTCTCTTGGTTGAAACTAATTTATGACGTACAAAATTATGAATTGCTTAGTTTTCTCTCGCTTATCCTTTCTTATTTGGATTACAATACAAACAGAAGTCATCATAGTGTCCGGATGGCAGAGTGAGCAACCATTCGGAAAGTCATGGGTACAGAAAAGTTATTTAAAAAAATTAAAAATATCTTAATATTGCGGTCGACCCTCAACTGAGAGTGGCAGGCCCTCCAAGTATATTTCTAACATGAAATAAAAAGTCCCTAAAAAGAATCCATCTGCCAATCAGGGCCGGCTTAGAAGGAGCTGTAGATTCCTACTTTTGTTGGCAAAGCGTAAAGTTGCAAACCACAAATGAGCTCCTTCGCCCACTCGGCGAATGTACGAGAGTCAAACTCTGTTTGTGAATTCGGAAAAATCTGTGATGTTATTGTTCATGAGAATTACAAATAGTCACAAATTTAGCCCATTGAGTGCTACATCCCTAACTGTGAAGAAGCTTACAGAAAATGGTTACGAAGCCCGAGCTAAACGAATATTGCGGTCGAGAAAGGAAATCTGGTGTTGGTTTCAAGCCACATACATTTCTGAAAGCAATGATAATGAAGTACATACATACATATATATATATATATATATATATATATATATATATATAATTCTTTAATCTGAATCACTCACCGATCAAGGCTCACCACTGATTGTAAAAACTGAGCTTAAAATAAATTTCCGCTAAGAAAGAAAGTTCCGTAATTCTATTCCAAGCGGCGAAAAAGCTGGTGCAGAACAATGTGATGTAACGGTGTTTATACGCGATGTACGCGGAAAGTACAGAGCTAATTTTGATCGAATTTCGTATTCACCAGTAATTTGGTTCAAAAAATGTCTTTAAGCTAGCACCAACCCCATTGCCAAAGCATACTTTCAGGCATTAGCTTTCTGCTTCCCGTCATTTTATGTACTTATGCATGTATGCAAGTACATGTGTATGATTACTCATACATACGTATATGCATAAGTGCAATTCTCAAGTGCACAGTGAAACAATAAACCTAAAGTACCTGTTAGAAACCAAGCTCGCGTGACATTTACCAACATCAGGAACGGCTAGAACACGCCAATTCCTAAGTGGTACGAGCTTGGATTAGAATTCGCTTGGGGCACTCCCTCGCTCTACCAATTTTGTATTTCCATCCCGCTCAATAAAGTCACAACGCAACATCTGGAAGGGTCGTCCCACACCATTTTCAACGGTCTCACACCAACTCAAATTTTTCCCTCCAGCTAACAATTATTGTCATCTCTTAAATATCCTGTTCCTCCTACCACGGAAGCCCAAACATGGTCCTTCGAGCCGCCTCGTATAAATGATTCGAGTTACTTAATAATTTTGTAAATAAAAGTCATATTGAAACTATTTCAAAATTTCATAGAGACCGGCACTATCGGCCGCTGTTGACTAAAGCGACATATTGTCAACCATAACTCAAAAACAAAAATAGACAAGTTTATCATCATCATTTTGGGCGCTCCAATCCTCTCTCTACTGATAGTTCTCGCATAGACCAATTCATAGTAAAAGCAGAAACTTTTCAAGTGGACTTTCTTTCAGTCATAGTACCCATCAACAAACGTAACCGTATTTACTGTCAAATCATCTATAACTTATCTCAACACGCGCCACTATCTAATGATACAAAATATTAAGTGCCAAGCCTAGCTAACCGTTCGTTTGCGGATGTCTGTACTTGAAACGCACGGGAAGGCATTGCGCCAAGTAAAAGAATACTGTNATAAATGAAGAATTGAAAACAAATAAATTGAGTTTGTCTTTTTGAAGAAATTGCCGTTGAG